CACATAAAGGTTATTGATGGTAATATTTTATTTTGTCATTTCGATATTAAAAGTATATAGATACATATTTTGGGTTGATTGTTTTCAATTGATCAGACTAATTTAACAAAATTGAGATATGCTGTTTAGCAAGAGAAAAACATTATCTTGAATTGATAGAAGTATGTTGAATTTATTAATACAAAACGCAAAACGATAAGTTTTTTAATTGCAGTTTGTTAGATCGATGAACAGGATTGCTAAGGATTTAGGGCCAAGGATTAGGCCCAACTTACATGTTTGTATAAATAAATAAATAAACAAAAATTCAGTAAAATAAATGAAATGCACAAGTTTTGATCAAAAGTGCGTTTATGCAAAAATTGTTATAAATCGTATGCAATAACAAGGATATTTATACAGAGCGATAAGTTAAAGAAAACATAAAATTAGTAATCCATATTTTTTTAGAATTGTCTTTTTTATCAAATCATAAACTTCCAAGATGATGAAGTATTCTTATTGACTATTAGTGAAATTATAATAAACAATTAATTATATATAATAAATAAGAAACATTGTTACTTTTTGGTGACTATAGAATCTAACATGAAGTATCTACTGACCATCGGACTGTTATAAGCATCGACTAATTTAAGAAATTATAGAGAAGCAAAAATTGTAGACAAGCAAGGCGTAATTTTATTGGAAGAACCAGCAATGTCATTAATGTTTGATTTACCATCAATGTAAATCCTGAAAAACAATAAGGAACGCGTGTGAAAATTTAAAATCTTTTTAAATTCTCAAAAACCATTCCCAAAAAACTTTTATTCTAGGATTCTAGAATAAATAATATCTAATCTAGAGTAGGGGAAAGGTGTAGATTTGAAGCCACAGGGATTCAAGACTTTTTGGGGCCTTCAGGGTCTGCTTTCAACAAGTTACTTACAAGTTTCATAAACACATCTAAAATCTAGAATCTCATTATAGATAGAAGATATGTGATTTTATATGTATTTATAAACATTTCATAGCTGAGAAACAAGATTGTCCTGCAAAGCAGACTTGATAATTGCAGTATAAATATAAATTGTAAAGGAAAGAATTTTTATATATCAGAATACGAAATATTTTTGAAAATTCAAAGTGAGAATTGTCGATAAAAGTATATATTACATTAAAAGATCTGGCTAAAGCTGGATGATAATGAAATGGAAAGCTGGAAAATATGAAATTTGAGAAACCAAGTCGCTAATATAGACGTTGCTAATATATAGAAAATAATTGAATCATGGATAGACATAAATTGGAATTTATCATAATTTTATGCATTCCGATATTCGTGGAATTGTATATATATAGTCGTACC